TGGAATAAGCGCTTCCCTGGCAAGCGCAAGGGCCTGAGTTCAATCCCCGGTTCCACAAAAAAAAAAAAAAAAAAATTAAGATAGCTCAGAGGACTAAAAAGCACCTGATTAGGCAAGCACAGGGACCACATTTCAGTCCCCAGCACCATATGCAGAACCAGCTCCACCTTCAGGGCATGCTGAGCCAGCCAGAGTCTAGGGCTTTGTGGTGCACACCTGTCTGTAATCCCAGGCTGGGGAGGCTGAAAACAGGAGGATCACTACAAGTCCAAGCTGCATAATAACATCTTGCAACAACCAAATACATTTTAAAAAAAAAACAATAAATTAGACCTTATTAAAATTCTAAACTTTTACATTTCAAGAGACAACACTGAAAAATGTAAAAGGGCAAGCCATAAGAGAAAAAATATTTCCAAATCACATTCAATTAAGGATTTATACCTAGACTATTCAAAAAAACCCTTACATTCAAACAATTCAATAAAACAAGAAATATAAAATATGGACAAAATCATGCCTATAAACTCAACACTCAGGCAGCTGAGGCAGGAGGAGTTCCACAAATTCAAAGCCACTGTAGAATATATACAGAGTTTAAGCCCAGCCTAAACCACATAGCAAGACTGTCTCAGGAAAAAAAAAAAAAAGGGGGGGGGGGGCTAGGGAGATGTCTCAGTAGAATAAGCGCTTCCCTGGCAAGCGCAAGGGCCTGAGTTCAATCTCCAGTTCTGCAAAAAAAAAGTAAAATAAGATAAAATTTGGGACAAAGCATTTGAATAGACATTTCACCAAAAATTCAAAGCCCACAGTAGGAAGGTAATAATCCAAAAGACAAAATAATAGTTGGTGAGGATATAGAAAAATTGGAGTTTTATATACTGCTGGTAGAAACAAGATTCAATTTTTTCAGAAAACATTTTGAACTGAATGTTAACCAATATTAGTGTAAGATATAGCAATCTCACTCCCATGAATCTATCCAAGAGAAATGAAAATACAAGTATATCAAAATATACACACAAATGTTCATAGCAACATTATTAAAAGTAGCCAGAAAGTTTCCACAATCTAAATGCCCACCAAAGGCTAAGTGGATGGACACTATGATAAAGCAGAAAAATGGATTGCTACTCATCAATAAAAAAGAATGAAAGCTTGGTGTGGTAGCATACCCCTATAATTCTAGCACTCTCAGTGGCTAAAGCAAAAGAATCACTGTGAATTTGAGGCTACCCTGGGCTATACAGCGAATTCAAGGCCAGCCTGAACTAAATACTGAAATCCTCAATCAATCACTCAACCAATCAATCAAACAATGAGAAAGACTAACCGGGCATGGTGGCACAAAAAGACATACAGATGCTACAGCACTGAGCAGCCTTGAAAATATACCAAGAGAAAGTAGCCAACATTTAAAACCACATGGAGGGGCTGGGGAGATGGCTCAGTAGAATAAGTACTTCCCTGGCAAACACAAGGGTCTGAGTTCAATCCCCGGTTCCGCAAAAAAAAAAAAAAAAAAAACATGGTGTATGACTTCATTACACGGAATGTTCAGAAAGGGCAAATCTGTGGAGATTTTCCTAAAGCTAAGGATATAATAGAGGAATAAATGTGAACAAATATGAAGATCTTCAAGTATGATGAAAGCGTCCAAAAACTGAATTAATGTAATTATACAACTCAGCATATTTCTTGAAATGCATCAAAATTATATACTTAGCTGGATGTAGTGACATATACTTAAAATCCCAGCCCTTGGGAGGCCAAGGCAGGAGAATCCCTGCAAGTTTCAGGAGGCCCTTAGTCATCACACACTCTACATACAGTGACCCCTGCAAAATCCCCATTTATGTTTGCATTAGGCTTTGGGAAGACATCTAGACACAAGCTGTAATGGGGTAAGCCCAGAACACTCAAGATACTAATTTTAGATCTGCTGAATCTGCTAATAAAACAGATTAAAAAACTCCTTGAAAACTACAGGTTGGTGGAAATATTACAGACAGAAACACAGTAACATAGATTTTAGAGTCACCAAGACAGAAGTAAGGGACTTCACTATAGGCCTTTAATGCTACACAGTTAAATCTACCCTGAAAAAATCTCCACTTGGCCAGGCTAATTCCAGTGTCTCCTTTTCAATGTTCAACAAGTAGAACCTACTGCTTCTACTTCTCTATCATCCTATACCTCTTCAATCTCCTAAAGTCTGTTTCCTTCCTTACTTCAATGTTTATACTGTTTCCTTCCTTACCTCAATGTTCACACTGTTCTTACCAATAGTACCCTATTTTTCAGAACCAAAACTTTCCTCTGTTCCCATTCTTTAATTTTTCTGCATAAAGGGGCCAGGAAGATGGCTCAGTGGAATAAGTATTTCCCTGGCAAGTGCAAGGGCCTGAGTTCAATCCCTGGTTCCATCAAAAAACAAAAAAAAAGGATTTCTAATTTTTTCTGCATGAGACCTATAGCCCTTGAAACTCATCTCCTGGCTTCTAAACCATCAAACTCTTCCCATTTCTACTTGTATTTTTTGCTCAAACCTAATCCTACTCAAATCTTAGCAAAATAAAGAATCTATACACCCAAAAGAAGAAAATTTAGTTTCTTGGGTTTTGTTTTTTTTTTTTGTCTTTTTGAGACATAATCTCATTATGCAGCTCAAGCTGGCCTTGAGCTCATTTGTAGCCCAGACTGGTCTCGAACTAACAATGCTATTTCTGCCTCAGCCTCTGAAATGCCAAGATTACAGGTGTGCACCACCACACCCTGTCAAAAATCTGGTTTTTATCTTTCTTTTTACTTGAAAAATTATTTATTAACCAATAATTGTTGTATTAACAATTGTTTATTAACAATTGTTTATAAACAATTGTTTAGGGCCGGCCAGATAGCTCAACAGATTAATGTGCATGCTTAGGCAGACGCAGGACCAGGGGTTCAATCCCCAGCGTGCTATGTTGGCCCCGCCCCTAGGGCACGCTGAGACAGCAACTGAGACTGGGTGTGGTGCATGCCTATAATCCCAGCATTTAGGAGGCTAAAAACAGGAGGATCACTACGAGTTGAACTGTGTAGTGAGACCCTGCAGACCCCATACTAAGTAAAATAATTGTTTATTAATCCAAATCAGCTTCAACTCACCTTTGTTTCTCATCTCCATTAAATGTCTTTATAGCATTTTTATGTCTATGTTCTACTTCCTCAGAAAATAAATTCACAGAGCACTTACTTGATTTCTCTCAATTTTCTAACTCCTAAAGCCATTACTGAAGAATGTAATGCGCAGTGAACGGAATGCAGTTAAGTTTTGGACTTATCAAAAGATGACCTGGGCCAGCGAGATAGCTCAGCCGTCTGAAGTGCCTACTTAGGCAAGCTTAGGCAAAGCACAGGAACTGAGGTTTAATCCCCTGCAACACATGCTGCACCAGCCCCCACCTCCAGGGTGGGCTGAGGTGGCCACAAAAAAAAAAAAAAAAAAAATGACCTAGATCACCCTGAGCAGGTCCCAAAGATAGCCTGATCCAGCTCAGAAACTGCTTAGTCCACTACGACTGCTATAACAAATTACCATAACAGTAGAAATGTATTTTCAATCCTGGGGACTAGGCAGTTCAAGATCAAGATGCTGGTTGATTCAGCATCTATGGAGGACCAATTTCTCATTTACAGAGGATACACTCTAGTTGTGTCCTCATTTGGTAGACAACGAAGGGATCTCTCTTGGGCTTCTTTCACAAGGGGACCAACCCCTTTAATGAACTAAGTACTTCCGAAGGCCACACATCTCCCAATACCACCACCTTAGGGAGTAGGCATTTAGCATATAAACTTTTGGGAGGACACTTCATAGCAGACCAGATTTTAAGCATAACTAATTTTTCACATATTCATTTAAAGTCTGCTGGCAGTTGATTTATGCCCAGATGGTTAAAGATATTCAAGTTAAAAATGTTAAAACAAATTTAAGTAAAAATTTCTGGGGTCAGGGAGATGGCTCAGTAGAATAAGCACTTGCCTGGCAAGAGCAAGGGCCTGAGTTCAACCCCCAGTTCTGAAAAAAAAAAAAAAAAAAAAAAAAAAAAATCTATAAAGCAAATTTAAATTCCTTCAGATTTCTAAAACTGAAATTATAAAACACAAAAGTAAAATCTCAAGCACTGTTTATAAATAAATGTCTCTAGGCTATTGCCTTTTAAGATTATTTGATTCAGTCAAACTTCAGTACCTTTAAAAAAAAAAAAATACAGCCAGGCCTGGTGGTGCACATCTGTAATCTCAGCACTTGGGAGGCGGAGGCAGGATGATCTCTGGGAGTTTAAGGCCAGCATGGGCTACAGAGTGAGTCCAGGCCAGCCTAAACTACACAAAGAGATCTTGTCTCAAAAAAGCAAAACAGGGCCAGCAAGACAGCTCAAGGGGCCAGGGAGATGGCTCAGTGGAATAAGCGCTTCCCTGGCAAGCGCAAGGGCCTGAGTTCAATCCCCGGTTCCACCAAAAAAAA